TTCCTATTGTTCTGAAAAGGGTTAAGTGTTTTCTGGGAGATACCTCCCATGTCTGTAATTATGTTGAAATCTGTGTTTCTTAAATTGCACGTTTTGGAGGTTTTGGTGAGCATCACCTCATGCTTTAATGAGGTCCAAAATGTACTGAAGGGTTGTCATGAGATCTGAGGTTGTTGGCTTCAGTGGACCTCTCATGATGCACTGGTGCTGTGAATACATTAACCTCCCTTCCTTAACTTAAATAACAGTAACTCTTTTCCTTGATCGTTCTATTAAAAATTAAGGCAATTACTTGAAGTTTGAAAGTGCTTAGAACTTTGGAAATACTTAGTCTAATAAAAATCATAGTGAATAACGTAGTTATTTTTAACTAAAAAAAAAGGTTGTTCTCATAGATAATGTCATCTTAGCATAATCTACTTTTTTCCACTTACTCCTTTCTACTGGCTGGATTTTTAAGCTATTGCTGTTTCCAAGTAATAAAGGAAGATGACACTTAATACACACTTACTGTTCAAGATGGCAGTCTGACTGCATGGATGCTGCATCTGTACCTCTGCATTAGAGAATGTGAGAGCAGCTGGTGGAACTGCATGTAGGCTAGTTCCTTTATTATAATTTGACTGAATATGTATCTCTATTGTACTGAGTCCCCCTCGCTTTCTACTGTGATGCCTCTGACAGGTTTTACATTGACATTCCTTCAGTGCAGAGAAGGAGACTCCAGAGCAAATTCATAGAGAGGATGATCTGTTCATAGGCTCTGTGTGCTAGATTTTCTAGACTTAAAGGCCTGTTTTATTTTCTTTTTGCTTTAAATTCCGGGTTCCAGAACTAATGCAAATCAAGAAATTGCTCTTAGTGGGGACAAGATGTAGATATAACAAGAAATAGAAAGGACTTAACTAGCTATCTGATAGAAGAAAAACAATTAATGAAGTCTCATACCTGCAAGGGAAGGGACCCATGTGGTCTGTGCTGAATTATTCCAGTTTTGGTGTTCTAGATTAGCAGCCATTCTCAGCAGCAAGCAGATGCCATCAGTTGTTACTTTTAGTGTTCTTTTCTAAGATAAAGTACCTAATAGCTAAGGTACCTAAAGTGAGCAAAAATGTTTGCAGGTATCGGGAGAACTGATCAAGCTATTATCAAAGAGATGCTTAGGTTCCGTCCTGTAGCAGAGATGCAGGATGAGGAGAGCTTGACAAACGTTCAGACAGTCACACTAAACTGATTATCTGTGTTGGAATTGTCCAGTGGTTTTTGGCAGCATTGTAATCAGGGATTTGAAAGTGATTACCTTGCTGCATTCCAGTGTTGAGACCAGCACAGGAGGGAATACGGTCTGCTGCAGCTCTGTGTCCTTTTATGTATTTCAGACTTGGCATCTCCCTTATCTGTACAGGTAGCTGGTGCTATTAGCCTTAGGAATTCCAAATGATCTGGCTTTGTTTTTCAGACAAGTGAAGGACAGTTGTATGTAAATATTCTACTTTATAGAGTATTTTCAAAGCTTGGATGTTGATACAAACCTTTTTGATGTGGTGTGAGGTATTTTCATTAATAAGCTGTTCAATAAATGTTCTTATTAGGAAAATTACATGCAAGCAGTCATCTCTTAAGAACAATTGACTGCTTCATAGGAGCAGCACTTGAGATGTTCAAAAGCCACATGTGGCCCGGGAGTCCTGGACTGTCACCATCTGAGCTATGTGTGTAATCCTTTTAGTTGTGGTGCACATGTACAGGCGAGAGAACTCGCATTCTTTCATTGCAGTAAAAATTTGAGAGTGTTTATTCTCAGTAATCTGCATGAGATTTAAGGATCACTTCTGTCACTGAAACTAACATTCATGTATGTTGTGTTTATTGAAAGGAGATTAGATTGATTCCCCCTGCCCCCCTGCTTTTCTGTCACTGTCTTCATTAGCTTGGTTTTGGTTAGCAGCAAGCCTGCTAGGGTATTTGTAGGCAGCATAATGCATTGCCAAACAGATGCCCGAATTAACTCGTGTTTTAGAAGCATGAGCATGTAGCTGTGCTATCATGCCACTCCATCCAGATCAATTCGTATGTAGACAAAACTCTGTGCACATGATGGCCTTTTACAGTAAACTTTGGTATTTCTACCTTAGTGAAGTTTTATGCCTCTGTGTGTTTATGCTTCTAAAATTTCTTCCTATTTAGAAATCTGAAAAAGTTCTTCAATTTCTTTTGGGGAGAAAAAGCTTCATCTGGAAAAGGTACAGCTGAGGTGCAGAGAGGATGACAAGAGATTACTTATTAAACCTTTCCCGCAAGAGCAAGGGTGCATGAAATGAAATTTGAAGTGGCACTATAAAACAAAAAGGAGACTTTTTTCCGTGAAGCATATTTAAACTGGAAAAATTACTGTGAGTTTGTGGACACTGATGTTATGATGCATATAAAGCCTGCTTGGGCAGATTTATAGGAGAAAAATCTATCAGTGGTTGTTGAACATAGAAATACTATGTCTGGCTCAGGGGATCCCTGTGCCACAAAATACAGAGAGCTGTACCACTGGATGCTTGTGTTGCTTGCCTGTGGTCATGAGCTTCAGTCATGAGTTTACAAACAGTATTTTGGTTGGAGTCATCGCTCTTATTTTTTTTCTTTTTAATGGATGTCCTGGTGATGTGCTCTCTCTAATGTTGCATTTTCTGCAGCTGCTTACAGTGCCAGATGTCCGTTGTATTTACTATGCATAAATACATCTCAAAGGATAGCTTTTTAAATTTCTGCAATAAAGACCACTGAATTAGAGCCTTCCTAAAAGGTAATATATATACACATCAGTACTCCTCAGCTAAAAAATGCGTAAAAACAAACTTAATTTTCCATGATAAAGGAAAAATGCATCAGTAAATGATTGTTTTAATTAATGTAATAGCTTTATAATGTTAGAAGCTCTCTGATTTCACTTATTACAGCTTTTTTTTTTTTTTCCCCAACTGTTGAATAGTAAAGATACTCCTTGAAAAGACTGTACCTGAAAGTCTCCATCTGGTGAAAGAATGGAATTTTAAGTCCAGAGTAAAAAATTTTAAAAATTGCCTTTACCACCAAGAGGACCTGATTTCAATTATAGCAGATAATATCTGGAATCAATAGTAGCTTCTGGTCATCTGTTAAGAGGAAAGGAACAACAGTGCCTGACTCATTAATTCTTTTGTGCAGATCTCCATTTATTTCAGGCTTAAAAATTTTAAGGATATAACCCCAAGCAAAGCTTTGAAGTGGGCCACCCACCCCTGTTACCAGCTAATCAATTCCTTTTCAATGAGAGTGACTTGCTCTCCATCAAAACCAGTCCCTCTGACACAGTGTTCCCAGCCTCCAAATCTGTTATTTTCCAGTGTGTTTTTACCACATTTCTGTGTGGTTCACATGTACCTCTGATAGTTGGGTCATCATGACTTGGCATTGACCTGGAGTCTCTTTTTTACTCCAGCATTTAACGTGCTCCATATGACCAAGTAATTATTAAAGTAATTTATATTTTTGTATTCTACATTCTTTTCTCCCTCTTCTTCAGTTGAAGGACTGGTTTTTATTATGTGAAGCCTGAGTCTGCTATTGTGGTATGAATGCTCATTTTTGAGGTAGTGTAGTTGCTGTAGATGCTGCTTCTACTGTTATTGATTCCTTTATATGTGGAGGTGTACGTCCTGCTACTCAGCCAGGAACTGCAGTGTCCTGCTTGTCACCTTTTGTAGTGCTGAGCTTAATTTTAACTTGTTATGGGGGGCATCTTGAGCACTGTGTCACACTGACCCCTGTGTGAGGAGACATTTTCATCTTCTAAACAAAAGTCAAGTCAGCCAGGAAACCCATCAAGGTCTTGGCGAGTCTCAGATTCATCTTTGAAATGCTAACTCAGATAGAAGATTGGAATGCATTAGTTGCAAGCAGAAAAAGAATCTTGGGGTTTTTTTGGTGGGGTTTTGGGGAGTGTGTGTGGTGTGTTTTGTGGTTTTTTTTTTTCTTTTTTTAAGAACAGCAATGCTATCTGTGCTCTAGATGAGCAGGAGGTGAGTTCCTGCACCAAAAAACTTGGTGTAATCTTTAATTAAGACCTTGGGCTTGGATTGATCTTTTTATTTGCCAGGTGCTTGCATATGTAAAACTGCCCAAAAGTGAGCACAGACAGGCAGTGATTTAAATGAGAGCAGAAAGATGAAGTTTCTCTTGAGAAGCTGAACATAAAAGTTCCATCAGATTATTCCTTCTCTTTCCTCTTTTTCCTAATTGCAGTGGTGGTCTGATATGAAGGCAAGGATTGGAAACCTGTTTCCAGTTAATCACAGATGTCCTTCTAGTGAAAAACTTTTTAAACACATAGAAAAGATAGCTTGTCTTATGTCATATTCTTGATTGAACTGACTCTTCTGTTGAAATGTAGAAGGATAATATTAAGAAAATATTAGCACATTTGATTAATTTGAGCAGTTAATTACAGACAGGTAACTTAGCTGGTGGTTTCATAAAGGTTCTTCTCTTTCTGATTAACTCTCAATATAGTTCTCATGGAAATGGGTTGTTTCATAACTTGGGATTCACTGCACCTGCAATACCCTAAAAATTTTAAGCTTGGCATTAAACCCAAAGCTGCATTAATATTACATGTCACTGTAGTTCTCACCGTATGATTTTACCTTCTGTATGGATTAGGATTTTGTGTTCTATGTTGTCTGCTTTCTTATCCTCTGAGTACCCTTTGGCAGCAAGAAAATATTTAATAATGCCAGCTGGCTGCTGTATTTGAACTCGGTTTCTAAAACACTTCTGAGAATATATCCTCCTACAAACTTATGTTCTGGAGTGTCACATTTCTCCCGTGGCTGAGAGGTGATTGAAGGGGGCATCAATCACCATGCCTGTGCTTGAAACACACAGAACGTTTATACGACCTTCAGGTACTACAGTGACAAAAAAATGTGTCTAGATCCAAGTGCTTTGATACTTTGCTACCTGGGGACATGCATGCGGACAGTGCATGTGCAAAGAACGACAGATATTGGTAGGTGAGCTATATTCAGTGTGGGTTTCTCTTCTCCTGTCTCTGTCCTCCTTTTCCAAGGTCTCTACTATCCTGATGGAATGGAAGGGAGAGAATGTGATGACCACGGCAGCCACTGTTGTTATAAGAATGACAGTGGTGCATATTTGATGCACGTGGCTCGGTGGATGCTGTATATATATATTAAAAAAAAAAGTCCAGTTCTATGACTATGATAAATGTGTATTCCTCTCAAGTTAGGTCGAGAACACCTTAAGCCACCGTCACTGCAGAGTGATTAATTACATACTCTACTACTAGGAGAAAGGATTAAGGGGCATCTGCATAGTGCTGCAGAACAATGTGGTCATTGGAGGAAAGGCCAATATTATTCATTGTTTATTTTTGTTATGTGTTATTCATATTGTTAGTGTTATTAGTATTTAGTGTTACATTTCACTATTTTATGTCATTTGTTTTTGAATTATTAAATTGTTCTTATCTCAGTCCACGAGCTTCCTTGTCTTTTCTGCTGATTTTCCGCCTCCACTGGAGGGGGAGGGAGGTGAGCGAGTGGCTGTGTGATACTGAGTTGCTGACTGGGATTAAACCACAGCACTTGTTTTAGAATCCATTGTCCTAGCTGAACATCTTTCCATGAATTCATCATTAGCTTCCCTGTAGTCTACTTACGCAAACACATCATAGATGAACTAAAAAGACATGAGTAGCCACCTTCTGTCTCGGTCCCAATCCTGTAACATGACAACATTAGTAGAAAGTTAGCTAGGTAAACATCTGTGTGATGAGTTTATCTGTGGATTCCTGTGCATTGCAGTAAATTCTTTGCTGCTCTGCAGCGCACTTTCTTTTATTCCGAGTGGCATTGCTAAAGACCATGGGCCTGCCTATTTTGAGCCTGACCTCCACAAGAATCCAGCCAAGACTTTTGGGAGCGGTACAGGTGATGCCCTCTTTTCTTTCTTTCTTTTTCTGGTACTCTGCAGGCTATCCTTCTGGAAGATATTTCAAAGTATATGGTTTTTTTCTTCCATATGTGCTGTAAAACGTATTCTAGCTATTTTCTACACTGTGGCAGTTTTCAATCTCTTTTTGTCCTAAAACTTTTTTTTGAAACTTAAAAAAAAAAAAAGAAAAAGTATCTTCAACAGACCTAGTAACTAAGTAATAGAAACTGAATGTCACAGCAAAGTCAGATCATAGCAATGTGACAGGATATATTGGCTCTTAAGGAGAAAATTACTGTCACTCTTTTTATCTCATGGAGTTTAAAAATAAGACAGCCTCACAAGTGTAATAACACACGAGGGTTTGGTTTGGTTTAGTTTTGCAGGCTGCTTCTGTTAATTCTGTAATTTCAGTGGCTGTAGGTGCTGTTTTGGCAGGCTTCAGCATTTAATTTTGCTTCTTGCAAGCTGGAAAGGTGACCACAATGACTTCTGTCTTTCCAGTGCCACAGAAGAATTTAGATATAGGTTGTATTGGTATTCAGGGAGTTTTGTTTTTACTTTAATCTGTTTGTAGTTAATAAGTAATTTAAATTTTTAATAAGAATGAATTGAAAAATTCTCCTTTTTCAAATAATAAACTTTTTTCAGTGTAGACATGCTGTCTGGCAACTCACCCAATAAAAATAGCGTACTTGATTGTTATGGGGAACCAAAGTAGTGCTTCTTATTTTATAATGCTTCTCTTGGGGTATTTTAGTTATGTGTATATACCTTGGAGAGAAGTTGGACCACCAAAATGAATAGAGTGTGATTCAATACACATGCCTTACAGGGTGTACGTGTAGGATCTTCAGTGCTACCAATACTGGTCAAATGTTATGTCAAACTTCTAAAGGCTGACCAGGCACATAATCTCATAGGCTTTTTTCAAAGGGATAAATAAAGACCATGGGATAAGCATGATGATGATTTAGTGATGATTGAGTTCAGTGAGTTTTGAAACCTTCAGATTCTAAAGAAAGATTTGGCAAAAATGTTCCTTTTGTGTTCTTATACATGCCATCCTATAATGTAAACCACGTCCTGTTGGTGTACTCCTAAAACCTGGAACTTTCTGTCAAAGATTCCCAAATGAGTTTTCAATTTTCATGGTTGCTGACAGCTAATCTTTCCTGCTGCCTTTGACGAGCAGGGTGACAAGCACAGGCGGTGGATGGCAGGTTATACTGCATTTGAGTGTAGTCTCTGCCTGGGGCGTGAGAGCCCTCCACAGCAGGCAAGAGCTTTGGTGGAAGAGTAGTTACCTTAGGTGTGTATCTGCACCCATGAGGTTTCCTTTTGGCTTTTACATGCGAAGATTTGTTCTTGTGCCTCTGAGTTGGTGTTTGTTTTTTTTTTTCAATTCGCTGTGAGATTTGGGTTTTCCTATCTAGATGGATATATTTGAGAGCAGCAAGACTGCTCTTGGGCCACTAAGCAATTTTGTGAATCATGCCCTGCTGATACTTATAGAAGGAAGTTTTCCTCTTCAACTTCAAAATTAAGCTCCAGGAGAATATTGCAATACAGAGACTCAAAATCACTATTGCTTGGTCTCATGGCCTGAGTTAGGCAGTATTTTAATTCAGAATTTCAAATACAGTAAGCAAAGGATTGAATAGCTGAATTGCTACATAGCATGTTAATGGAATTTTAGCATTTGTAGGAATGAGCATTTTGAGTGGCTCTTGAGTGTTATATTTTGGTTCTGAGTGAAAGGAATAGCTGGCTATTTTTTTTAACACTAACAATGTAAGACTGAAAATTTGACCATTGTAACTGTTTGGGAACATTGCTGCTCTGGCGGATGTTTCGTTTCTGAGGCATTTTTTATCTCCATTGAGGGAAACCTGTTTCTGTAGCTCTTGTCCTAGCCTGAGCTCATGACCTGGGCTTCACTGGCTTTGGGGAGGCTGGCGAGGGAAGAATGCTTGCGCTTGCACACTTAATATATTTCAGTGAACAGCGTGCCTTACTGTTCTCCAACCCCTAACCATTTCCTCACATTTGGGATTATAAAGAGTGTTGGATCTATAGCATCCATTAAGTGAATGTGAAATAAGGTTTTCCTTTGGTGGCATGTGGGTGGTATAGATGGCAGCAAAAATATTGGCACTTTTCAGCTTGCAGACTTCTGAGGTCTGCTGTGTGTTAGTGTGAGCATTTGGAATAAAACAGTTTCTGTCCTTCAGGGTAGTTATGGTCTAGGTAACAGTGTTCTCCAGTACAAGCTTTCCATTCATATACACTAAGTCTGTAAGTCTTTCGAGTTCTTTCCAAGTCTTGCATTTTAAATTTTCTGCACACGAAAGTGGCTTAACCTCTGATTCTTTTACAGCTTGTTAAATTTCAGTAAGCCTGTTTGGTCTAACACTTAACTTCCCCCCTGGTTTTGTTAACAAAAGGAAATAATTATTTATATTGTTGCAAATAATTGAAACTTACTATCTTTTTCAGTAATAGCTGGTTTTCGAGGGACAGTCCCACATGGCCTATCACTGGAGATTGGAGACACCGTTCAAATATTAGAGAAATGTGATGGTGAGTTCACATGAAGTTTCATATACTGGTAATTTGAACCCTAATGCTATGAATTTATTTTCTGAAATTAAGACATTTTTGGAGTCAGTAATACCACACATTGTCCTCTTCATTTTTTTCACAATTCCAATGAATTCTAATCCTTATAATAATTAATTCACTGTTCATTCTTTTCATTTAAACTCTGCTTTATAAACATTCATAGAGGATAGCAGTAAAAATAGCAAGGAGTTCTCCCTGTGATTCCTCTGCTTTCTTGGTATTTCCAAGGAAAGCCTGGCTGCCATCAAGCCTCAAATTAATTCAAAATCATACATTTAGATCTTAAAGCACTGTAAACATTATCTTCTGCCTCTCTGCTGAAGTAGAGAATACTAATATGACTTTAGCAAATGTCCATTACTAGTGTAAGAGAAATAGTTGTATTATTTTTGTAATCTGCTTCCTTAAATATATTATATAAGACTTATTTGTCAGTATGTTTTTTTTTTATCATTTTAGGATTATATAGGTTCTTTTTGGTTTCATATCAGGATTATTCATATATGGTTAATCTTTTAAGAAATTTTCTTACAGAAGGCACAGAATCTGTTTTTTTCAGTCAGATAGATTATGAATTTTGTATAATGTGGTTGATATATTTAGAACATGAAGTCCAAAAATTATTTTCAGCTAGTAACAATGCTTAGGAAGCAATTTCTTTTTTGTCTGGTGTGGTGTGTCTAGTCCAAAATATACCTGGGTTACATTGTTAGAAACACCTGGGTATACAGGGATAAAGAGTAATTCCTGAAATCTGAATATGAGCTGGTTTAAATAAAATACCTTTAATTGTATGGAAATTCTTTTAAATGAGTGCAGTCTGACAGCACTGTGTAACTTTCATAGCTGTCCAAAAGGGAAAGATGAAATCTGCTTTACATATGGAAAAGGCTTGCATACTTTAAAAAACAAAATGTTCTTTTTTCACAGGATGGTACAGAGGATTTGCCTTAAAAAACCCCAATGTTAAGGTAAAGGTCAATTGCAGTTTTGTGTTCTTCGGCAAAAATGTGTATTTACTTTTTAAAAGTTTATAGTTTCCATGTATGATGTGTATTCTTAAAAGGAAACTAAAGCTTAGTGGTATGTATATAATTGATTTTGTTTTAATAAGATTTGGACGTGGATTATACTTGTGAAATGCTCCTGTGTCTTAAGATTATACACTTTACAAATCTGAGGCTCTGGTGAACTTTATTTTACTTCCGATTTTTATTCTGTGAACTCTTCATTTCCAAGCTTCTTCAGCTGCAAAATAAGGCACATATATGTTAATTTCAAAATTTCCTAGGGGCTAATATCATAAGTCATTGCCTTTTGTGCCTAGGCCTGCAGTCTCTGCTCACATAAATTTCCTTTGCCTTATATGGAAGGTCAATGTGAACAATAAATTTGACCACAGAGTCTAATCTGATGTTTACTATTTTGACCTCATTGATATATACTTCAGTTTGATTTATAAGACATGAGCAGTTGGGATTTGTTACTGAATCTTCTGTGTCTTTTGTTGCAATTCTCACCACATGCTTGCTGTCAGCCTTGCTTTGTGGTCTGTCGAATGTGTTGATAGAAGTTAGGAACAGGTTTTCTAAACAAGACTTGATGTGCAAAGAAATGAGATACATATTTTCTGCTTTCCTAGTGTGAATGCAAAGAGTTTTCTGAACTGGATATTTGAAGGGAGTCTCTCTGAAAGTAAAATTATAAGAGCGCCTTGTAACTCTGTTTGTTATTGGCATTGCCCTGTCAAGATTCTTCCCTTGTTATTCTGCCAGCTTTGACACTCAAAGAAATTATCTGTGGCTGGTGGTGTGCAGTAAGCGTGCTCGTGCAGCCATCCTGCTTTCTGCAAGTGCAAGGCTGTACATCTTGCTGTCCTTGGGAGGAGCTCTCCTGAACTACTTTACATTACTGAGGAGTAGGAGCATTCACGAGGGCAGTTGCCTTTACCTAGCAGATGCGTTTTGTCGAAGGTCTAACATCGGTGTTAAAATAAAGCGGGGCACCAACATCACAAAGGAAAGCTGTACGCAGCTGTGCGTGTTCCAAAGGAATATACATATTTTCCCTCTCTGCACTATGTAAGGAGCTGTAGTGTATTACATTCCTGGCCAGAACTTTGAGGCTGAGTTGCTTAATTTTGCTTATTGTTCTGATTTATGAAGATTAGCGTGCTGTAAGAGCAGTATGACTTCTGCAGCAATGCTGTCCATTCAAAAGAACAGTGGAGAGCCCTTAAACAACTGGAAAAGGATTGCTTCTGTCAGGACAAGGAGTCTCTTTGGTAGGCATCTACCACAGCTTTCCTGGGCACTGCAGGGAATAGTAGCCACCAAATAAAACTTGGACTTTCTTCAACACTTCATTGTTATTGAACTTTGTTAATTTGATTTATTTTGCTTTATTTTGAAATTCCCTATCTGAAGATACTATTTTTAAGATACTGTTGGTGAGAGGTTACCCCCCCTGTTTAGTCTTGTTTCTTGTCAAGGTGGGAATAATTAATAAAAGCATCTAGAATAAGTGAGCTTTCAAACAATATTCTACATACTCTACATGTGTTTATTGTCTAATTTTATGAAGCAATGAAGGATGAAAATGCTACTGACCGTGACATAGTGGTTTTCTTCAGATCTGTACTGAGTGTATGTTACAATTTTTTTTGTGCACGTTTGTTGGTAATTATTTTGAGGACTTTTAATTTAGCACACATTTGCATTTTAAATGGCACTCCAAACTCATGTAAGGGGAGTTTTTTTGGGCTTACCTAAACCGTTTTATTTTTCAGGGCATATTTCCATCCAACTACATTCACTTGAAAAATGCGTGTGTTAAGAACAAAGGGTAGGTGAAATGTTCTGGATTCAAATATCTAAGCATGTTATCAGTTATTTGGTATGAATATAAGTTACTCGTACCAAAAGATCTTTTGCTTATAAGGTAAAGTGGTGATTTCGTTATGTTAAGATATCTTAACTTCAGCTTACTGCCACACGACTTGAAATGGTTGTCCTCAGCTAACCTGGTACTCCTGCGTGGTCATAAAACTGGAGTGATATATTCTGAAAAAACATGGAGCGCAATTGGGAATATGTCTGTGTTGTCTAGAGGAAAGAGAATAAAATTGCATGTTTTCAGTTCCTGTTGTTGAGTTTGGCTTGAAAAAGGTATTGCCTTAATTAGAAGTCGTTACTCTGTACAGAGGCTGTATATTAACCTGCTGTTAAAGATTAGTTGTTTTCTTTGAGGACAGCAGCTGTTTCCAACATTTTAATTAATTTGGGAACATTCACATTGTATCATTTATTTATGTTTATTAACCTAAAGTGATAGAACTGATGTGTAACAGTTTGACGCCTGTTTGGGTCAAGACATTACCATCATAATAGATGGATGCCTAAATATCAGGTGTAGATGACCTTTATTTTGGGAGCGTGAGTGAGTAGAAGATCCATGATGGGGAAAAAAAATCATGAAGACTGTAATCATATTTTTTAAAGTCTCATTCCCACAGGTGAAAATGGCTCCACATTACTGTTAAACAGTCTGTCTGCTTAGAATTCAAGCCACATGTGGTTTGCCATGCCCTAGAATCCTTTGTCCTTTAAAAGTGGTTGTAGATAAAACTGAAGTTTTAGTGAAATAAACTTCTTGTAAACCATCGCAATAAAACAAAGCTTAAAGCTGGAGTAATTGTTGTTAGCAGACACCATGACCGTATTTGCAGGGTGTTCAGTCTTTGTTGCCTCTTATTCTTTTAGTTTGTTTCCCCAGTTCAGGCCATGTGACCTATGGCACATCATGGCTGGGGGCTGTCACATTGTTATGTTAAGTGGATAAGAGAGAAATGATATAATACGAAAAGTAACCCGGGCATGAATGCAAACATTTGAAATGTACTGTGCGTGAGAACGAAGTGGTAGTGATGATGGTGTGTAAAGTAGTGGTGTCGTGGTGAATTTGGTCTTGACCAAGTCAATCCAGCTTTTTCTTGGCCAGCATCAAATAGGCAAGAACTCACTTATACCACAGTAGTTTTCTTTTGAGTTTTTAAATCCTCTTTCAGTTGAATATATTACATTTTCTGTCATATATCTATGTATGAAATGTAAAAGAGTGGCAACAATCACTGGTTTGGAGTCTAAGCTAAAGTGGCAAGATCCCTTTGAGAACTGTGGGAGTTACTCTGCTGTGAAAGCAGTTTTTTGACATAGTAAAACACTTGCCTTGACTTCTCTAGCACCAAGACTTTTCATGGGGCTTAAATGATTTTCACCCAAGCCTTTTCTGTGGGGATTAAATGAAATGTACAAATAAAGTGTCATGGGCTGAAGCAGCTCCTGTGTAGGTTGATAGACATCACTGTTGGCAGGAGGAAATCTTTATAGTATTAACTGTAATGGGATTTGTAATGCTTGTGTAATATCATATGTTCTTCTGCATGTTACAGACAATTTGAAATGGTTATTCCAACAGAAGATTCTGTTATTACAGAAATGACATCAACTTTAAGAGACTGGGGAACAATGTGGAAACAACTCTATGTGGCAAGTACCCCAAATAATATTGCTTTGATTTAGTACCTACTCAAAAGACACACTGTTGTTTGGATGCTCTAGTTTAGTTTAAGTATATATTACAGAAGAAATCATTGTTTTTAGCTGTTCTAATTATGGACTAAATACATCACTTAATTTGTTCCAGTCATTGACCTCAACTGCTGCTCAACTTTAGCAACATATTGAGTGAGTCATGTCTAGCTTCATCGTGTAGCCATTGGATTATAAAGATTCCTTCGACAAATTGAAGTGTTGGAAATAGGTGTAACATTGGTATATTATTGAAATATAGAATTATAGTATATTATTGAAAATCTCTCAGCCAGTTGATTTGATTTTATGCTCATTTTTTCATAGATTTTTGTTTCCTCTCACATTCACACACTCACAAGTGTTGAGGTGTGTCCATGTTATTTGACCAGGATCCCTTGTATTTGACACAGAGATCAAATACAAGGTCAATATTTGATGCCCGCTCTTGAGTCCTCGTTGCTGTGCGAGGCTGGAGGTGGATCTTGATTAGCCATAGTGAACTGATTTGGATTCACCTACCGCACATTACAGAAGTGGATTATGGTTTTGAACTTCTTCCTTATCTCACATTTCATAAGTCTTAAGTAAAAGTCCCATTTTTCACAGTTCTCTTCATCTGGATATTTTGAAGATATTTTATCTTCATCTGGTCTTTTTCTCCTTGGTATCTCCAGGTCAGTTTACATCTCTCCATGGAATGCCCCTCTGAAATTGGTCCACGTTAATAGATACAGTCTAAGCTTTCTAACTATCTCAATAGATTCATCTTCTCAAATTTCACTTGAAATCATGTTTTCTAGCCTTAACCGTTGCTGTTCTCTGAACCCATGTTGTATTTTCAGTTGAATTTCTGGACTAAGAACTGGATATGGTATTCCAGTAGCAGTTGTGTGAGCACCAAACGCAAAGTAGCAATAAGCAACTGTTCTTTCACTGGTGGTGTGTGTTATTTTTCTACTTCCCATTTATCACTCCATTGCTCTATTGTGCTCACTCTGTATATGTGGCCTCTCCAATACTGTAATGACCTCCCTTAAAAACTTGAGACAAAACAAAGATTATATCAATAAAAATGTGGGTTTTTTTTAATTAGGGTAGGCAAACTTCTTATTGCATAGAGAAAACTCTTCCAAACTCAGCCACCTGATGGTTTACTGTTTTGACTCACCAGTCATTTAAGCAACTCTTACTCCATTACAGAACTCATACAGATGTGGGATTATTCTACTTAATTTATCTAAATCTTGTGCAGTATCAATAGGATCTTGACTGCAAGCTCCCTAGACTGCTTTTCACTCTCATGCCTCCTCTGAACCCACTGCAGTCTCCCATTCTTTTGAGGGTTTTCAGACCAGTGACTTACTTTCACTGTAAGAAATTCCTACCATTCCCTACTTGTAATTGGCTACCACGATAGGTGGAAATTGTTTTGTTTTGGTGTACTTACACTGCACATAAAGAAACTTGTTCAATATCTCTCTTTACGCTGACTGAAATTTAGCTTTTGCTGACTGTTCTGCGTCTTTTAACATTTTTTTTGCATATCATAACTGCTATAATTTCTTTTTTCATGCCTATTTCCTCTGTTAACTGAACTTTTTTTTACTTTCTCTTGACTGTAGATTTTTGTCTTTAAAGATTTAACTAAAATACCAGTTTTAAATTGTGATATACATCATTATTGTCTTCCATATTTAACATTTGACTGTCTAATCTATTTCATGAAAACCAAACCATCATTTGGACTTAGAGCATGTGCATATCAGGCAGAATCAAAACCTGTTCAGTTGCATCTGCATAGTCTCCAATCCCTCATTTTAACTCATTGCTGAGATCAGAATTACGAATTAAACTGTGAGAAGATTAGCTACCTTCTGGTGATAGAGGGGATGCTTCTGCGACGTAAGAAACAGCAATGAGTATTGCCAACAGACCTCCTGCAAGTCAAGACAGTGTAGCCAGCCTGCTACCTTTTCGAGACGATTGTATGGATTGTGTTCAGAGGGGCTGTTCAGAACCAGGTTTCCTTCCTGAAACCTGCAAGTGGGGTAGTTGCTGATTTCCTTAGTGAAAGCTTTTATACCAGAACCTACAAAATCAAGTATTTATTTCTGTTGGATTCTAAGTAAAAAGTATCATTTGAAACTTGACAGTGAAATTGTAATGAAGCAGTATGAACTGTTCCTTGAGAAACAGCAGTTTCTTCAAAGCTTGTTTTAAATTTCTCGAGATTATAATGGGAAGTATAGTTTTGTCAAATTTTTGAAGCATATCTAAGTGTGATTGCTTTGTGTACTTACATGTTAGCAGGTATATTAGTACGTTGGCTTCTCCTGCAACAAAAGGAGCAAAAATATGATCCCTTAGTGTAGAGACCTAAATCTTTACAGCAAGCACAGCTGCTTGCACATCCTCTCAGCACTTTGAGATACAAGCAACTCACAGATAAACACTGAATCTGTGGAAAAGAAAGGATATTTGACAATGTTATTTTGAGTTTAACAGTGTTGTTAAACATTAGCATGTCTCTTATATTCACATGAATAATTTACTTCAGCAGAGCTGAAGTATGCCGAAGAGAACATATTATGAAAATAAAAGTGTCACCTGAGTTAGTCTTTATTGGATTTGCTTTTTTAACTGTAGAAGGGAAAACTTTTTACTCTAGTGCCTGATGGAAAACTGTGAAAATGTACTGACAGCCTAGTTCTCTAACATTTCTGTAAAGTCTGTTTTGTCTTGTGCTCCCAATTCAAAGGCTATTTGTATGACTTCTTTTTTGTTTTCTTTTACTTAAAGTTCATACATTCCTATTGTTCTTACTGAAGTAGTTTCTGGTTTTGACAACCTTTTTTTCCACTGCTGTTGTTATTGGTGTTCAAAATACACTAGCTTTCTTTTTTTCCCAGACAAAAAGCCAAGACCAACAATAAATTAACTCCCGTTTTAGTGAGCTTGTGAAGTGAATGAATGTAAAATAAAAAGAGTGGATTTATCAAATGGCAGTTTGTTAGAGCCATTGGAATATAAAAGCTATTGACGAGAGGGTAATGGTGCTTCTAAGCTATTTTTTAGTTTTTCATAGAAATTAGGCAGCAGAAGTAGCTGCACTTTGGTTTTATGCCATTTGTTCATAGTAAGAAGGAAAAGGGAAATGGGCTTAGGGCTTGGTGTGTGTGGGTTTCCCCCTTCCCTCCCGCCCCAAGAATTAGCAGAACAGATCTGAATAGGAATATTTTTTCAACTTTGTGTGATGCATCATTTAAATGGAGGTTGCAATAATTTCCTCAAGCTAAAGTTTCTCAGAAAAACTGTATCAAATAGAGCCACTTAGAATTGGTGAAGGAAGAGTTGAAAGAACTTCCGCTTGGGAGGAAAATGTTATGGGAAATTGTTTATGTCCTGAACTGCTATATAATTAGAGTAGGAGGATGCGGTTTAAAAAGCAGTCATATTCATGTAACTTTTGCTGCTGCACTGTCAGAAGAACTGTCTGGACAAGATTCTGTCTACATGATACTATTTATTTACGGTTGGACTGTAATGTGTATAGTTCTATCCATGCAAGAAAAAGTTAAAAGAACATTAACACTCTGTGGCTTAGAGTTTGAATGCTAGGAGCTGTTGCCTTTTGATCCCCTTACATGTGTGAGTTCAACTAGTCTTGAATACATGATCACATATCCAGTTTTGATGAGACAGCAGCACAGAATGAACATGTTTGTGGAATAAAACAGTGGTATGGCATGAAACAAATTTTTGCTGAATTTTCGTCATGTCTGTCACATAAATTAGACTGTGTTAACATGAGGTATAAGGAGTTGGAGTGACATTTTGGAGTGAGTGTGGTGCAAAGAGAGGGTCTGCAGTAAGCTCTGAAATTATTTCATGTGGGCACACGTGCATGCAGGTAAAATGATCATGGTACGATGGTGAGAAAAAGGATCATTACTGAGTAGGGGAATAAGGAAGGAGTTTTCTTGATTTCCCCACCAGATCTGTATTTATTAGGACTTAGGACTGTCAGTTTATGCAGGTGATGTAGAGGCAATTATATTTTTACCTCACAGAGGAATGAGGGGGATCTCTTTCACCGACTATGGCACATAATGAATGAAATCCTTGACCTGCGAAGGCAGGTCCTTGTCGGCCATCTCACCCATGATCGAATGAAGGATGTCAAGCGACACATCACTGCTCGTCTAGATTGGGGCAATGAGTGAGTACATATAACAGTAAATGAAAATAGTGTCATCTGATTAAAAAGTCACAGCTTTAGGCTCATTTTAAAGAACATTATAATTGTTCAAGTTTTTCTAAATTCAGCATGACTGCCCCATGTGTGTTCTTAATCTTTATTGCATGCTGCCGTATGAAAGTAAGTTTTATTCCTGTTGATTCAAGTTCATTTCGTTATTTTGTTCAGGGAATACAGCCAAGCAGCTTTGATGCTATCCAGTCTAAATTAAAAATAAGCTGATGTTTTGGCATCTGATGGATTTTCTTTTTTATCTTCTTTTCTGTGGTTGTCATTTAAATTGACAATACTAGTGTGATTCACATTGTACAGCATCCACAAGAGTACAAAGGACAGTATCTATTGTACAATGTGAAATAGATTTTAAAATTGTGGAAAACCATATTCTATTAATGTTACAAAGTGAAGAAAGGGGAGGAATCACCTGTGAATGGTGAATGCAGCCAAAATACATTAAAATAAAACCAAACCCAACTGTAGAATACCAATTAACATGTACATTGTTTGTTGGAGTGCTTCTGTTAACTCATTGCTTCTGTTTACATTTAATTTATTTCCCTTGTATGTAGAAACTACATACTGTTACTCCATTTCTCATGCAGGCAACTGGGACTTGACTTAGTTCCAAGAAAAGAATATGCTATGGTGGATCCTGAAGAGATCAGCATTACAGAACTCTACAGGCTGGTATGTGAACATAATACTCAGTTTTCTTGTTATTAAATTACTTACTGATGATTTAATGGCAGCTTTCTTCTACTTAGCCAAAAGTACCTTTTTTTAATCAAATAAACTGTCACTTCATAATCGAATGAGTTTTGGTATGAGGACAGAAGTTCTTCCAACAGTTATGTCATCTCTCTATGAGATGCTTTGATTTGATATCAAATTGCGTGTGCATACCTGCTCATTTTATATGTTATTTGTTGAAATTTTGTTTTCTGATATAAAAATTGTGACTGCTAATATGAATTAAATCATCAATAAAAGCTTATGAGACTCTTATTCATTAGAGCTTTAACTGGCCTGTGAGTCCTGTTAGATAATATTTGAGGAAATATTATACTCACAGTACAAGTATTGTCACAATCGTACTGGGCAGTTGGACTTGTAAAATATTTTAATGTAAATAGCAGGTAAACTGCATAGAAAAGCTTTCATTTGGGTATAAAAGCCCATCTTGCTTTAGTAAAACCAGCACTGATATTTCTTATTCTGATTTAATCTCCAATAAGGTCTAAGAAAACTTAATTTAAGGGGACTCTGGCTCATGTTTAAGTACTGCAGCTGTCACAAATACACAGTTCTGAGCCTTACTTGCTTAAGACTAAGCTTTTATTTAAACTAAATTTTATTTAACTTTTGTATTTAAATATAGAATAAAGCAAAAATATAATTGCTGCAGTATGCTGTAGAACTGAAACTATAATGTTTTTTGATAATTTTTAAATACGTATGTTGATAACTTCTAATGTCAAGCCTAATAGTAATTTCTTTATGCTAGAGTCAGTATACCTTTGGGCAGTTTCAAAGTCGTATGTAATCTTATGGAATCCTGTTGAAGCACTAGATGAAATACAGTGAGAAACTATTAATCATAAGAAGAACCATACAGAGGAAACATAACCCAGAAAACTAACGATGTAATTCATGGAGTGCACTTTCAAAAATAAAGAGGAAAATAAAAACCAAGATAACCTCAGTTTGAAGTCTAAGTGGCTTAGAAAGATTGCAGTTTAAAATTATTTTTAGTACAATGTAAGAGAGAAATAGTACAACTTCATGTTCTATCCTTAATGGATGATTAAAATGGTAAATGTATAAACCGCAAAGTCGCATCCACAGAATTTATCAGCTTCTATATAGCAGAAGGTTATAAAATATAAATGGAATTTTTTCCATTTTAAAATAGCAATATTTAGACTTCTGAAAACATTTTTTGTGTGTTTGAATACTAGGATATCAGATCATTAACTATTTACACCAGCTATAAAATACTGTATTGTTACATCACAAAGATTTGAAGTGATTTAGAATTTTTGGAGTAGAAAAAAGGTAAACTTCTAGAGGATGATGATGTTCTCCTAGAGAAAACTGATGCAGTGCAATACTGGGAAAGTCACTTTCTTGCATTCTCCTTCTTGGATACACACACCAAAAAAAAAGAGGAAAATTTAAAAAAAAGTTACCATTTAATACATGAAATAAAAATTTAAAGATTGGGATTAAGAAAGTAGTTCAGTATTGTTTTTACCTTTTTTTGAGATTTTTATGATTAATTCAAACTGGCTGCTGTTGTTTGTGGTTTTTTTAGATGGAGCATCGTCATCGAAAAAAAGACACACCAGTACCAGCTAGCAGCCACCATCTTTTTGTCCAGATGAAGAGTCTCATGTGCTCCAATTTGGGAGAGGAACTGGAAGTAATCTTCTCCCTGTTTGATAGTAAAGAAAATCGACCCATCAGGTACCACATGATTTTTCACTGGAATACTGATTTTACATTAGTTTTATCAATATGCACTGTATGCTTTGCTACACGTAACAAATTTTGCATTTAGGAACAAGCAGAAGATAGTATTGATTCATGATAAATTTTGCTTCATGTTGAAATTGAGTGTCTATACTTATTAATTTGTAGTATCATTTTAGGTGTAAATTATATATATATATGTTCCTCTTGTTTATGTACTTCAGTTTTCAGTTGGTTTTGTTTATGTAGGAACACAGATAAATTAATGCATATAGAGTGAATGTTACTTCTGCAACCTAGTCACTTTTCAGTATCTCTATTTTCCTCTCTCCCAATCAGTGCACATTCAGAACTTGTCCTGTAATATTTATGAGATGAATTCTCTTAGGTACATGAGACTGGAGGGCTGCCCTTAGTGAGTTAAGAATCTTTTTGGAAAAGGAGCCTATACCTCAAGGGGGAGGGGCCTGTTCTTCAGTGGAACATTCAAAGCCAATCTCACATCCACTTACTGTTTATTTGGCCTCTTTTTTCAGCTGGGAGCTGATCCTGGAACCACTCTTTTTCTCCTAGAGCTTCAATTCTCTGAGACCCCTGATAACTTTTTAATTTTTAAAAATCCAGTAGTTAGTTTTACTCCCAGCACATTTCTGGCTAAAAGAGAGGACATGGGGGTGAACAGTAACAGAACCGTGATGTACTCTAAGAAATGTGAGCACAGTAGGAGAGCAGAGTTTAGTGTAAGAGCCTTACAAATTCTGTTTGAGGAATGTGCCAGGAAGATTGAACCACCATGCTTGTGCAGAGGTGATGGGAGATCACCTGCTGGTCAGAAGGCTCCCATTAATAATTTGCTGCTGGTTGTTGGCCACTGTATTCTTCTCTGCTCTCCTCATGATAGAAAGAACATGTTTTGGAGGCAAAAAACCCCATTATCTGCTTTAAGACTGGCCACTAGAGAAATGAAAGACTAGACTTCAAAACAAAAAACCACTTCAGATAAGACAGGTCGCAAATACATGAAAGGAAATATAAGCTACTGCTCTAAGCTTGTTAGTGGGGTAAAAAGTGTTACTTGAAATGTGGGCAAAGCCATGACTCTGTATTTACATATGAAATAGGAATTTGGGCTGAATTTGATAAAATTGTGTCTGTGCTTTGTAGCTGGGCAGGATAAGTAAACAGTGATGTGAAGCAAGGTTATGCTAAGTAAATTGATTTTTATTGTTAATGGAATCATATATAAGCAACTATTGTTACTCTAATACTGCTGCTAAATGCTGACACTTCATTCTGGCCTGCACTTGCGACATTAATCACCAAAACACAGTTTACTGTAATTTCTGAGAATTTAAAGTGCATCAGGGCACATCTTTTGTGTTCATTCCAGTGAATGCCACAGCAGATGATAGATTTAGGAGAGACCTTCAGACCTTGACAGAAAACAATTTGGGTGTTATGGATTGCTGAAAACAAGGTTATGGCAGTAGTGGTAGTATGAAAGCAAATGGATTGGATTTCATGTTCACATGAAAGCACAAATTCTAGAGCTGTTTGTCACATGCTTGCTGTGATCTGACCTTTAGTTATTGATTCCTGACTCCAGGGTCTGTTTGTAGCTGCTTTATTATGTGTGAAGTTCCTCATCCCATTACTGGCCAATCTTGAAGAATCCATGAATCCAGTGGCCTTCTGGGGCTTGGGGGGAATGCCAAGATGAACTTTGTGAAGGTAGTTTGCGACCATCTACAAAACAAACAAGCATATGCCCCCACAACAGCAAAACCACAACAAAAACCCTTCCAAGAAACAAACAGAAAACTCTCAGCATGTTGAAAAAGCTGAAACCAAGAGAGTTTACACAAGAACACATTAAATGCAAGGTATATCTGTATCACAGAATAGACTCTGGAATGCAGAGGTGTCCAGGCTGAAGATTTAAATGGTCTTCCTGGACTAGACCTGAAATCGACAATAACCAGGCTGTCGCAGAGTTACACCAAAGCTAGTTGGTCTTGGTGCATGACAGTATGGTATGACGTGTAACTTCTATTCAGTACAGATGGGTGGGATATTTCAGAGGTCTTTAGGCCCTGGCTGATGCATGTATGAAATGACCAACCTCCCTCACAAAGATGGTGTATGAGAGGAGACGCTGTCTGAGCTCTGGGTTAGGATACTCTGATCCAGAATGGTTGATAGCATTCAGAAAGAAATATAGCATGTTTGAGCTTGCAGCTCACCTGACTTCTTCATGTTACTGGCCTGCAAGGAACAGCAGTGCTTAAATGATTTTTGTGGCGTTTTTCTTAATGAGGTTATTTTTAATGTATTAGTATAAATATCTGTATATTGCTGCAGAGTTTATCCAGAATGTTTTCACAGATTTTTGAATATTTATACAGTAATGGTAAGATGTAATTTTTACTAACATGCATAGAACAACTTCATTTTGTGATGATGACTTGGCAAATTTGCAATTACTCTTTTGTTTTCTGATCAACTGTAGTGTCAGATACTTTGAAATGGTTTGCTTTTTCTCTTCCTTTATTTTGAAAATATCTGAGTTATTAATAGTGTGGATAGCGTCTTACCATGTGGGAAAGTCTGTGCTTTGGAAAAACAAGCAAACAGCTGAGCTTTGTGCAAGAATAAGGTTGTCCTTAGGCCACTGTTAAGTTGTAGTTTCCTCAGGCAACATTAAGAACTGATCGGACTTAGAACATACTCACTGAACAATGAAAGGTGATGAAACTTGTTGTTGCTATAGTTATAGGTTCTCTCTGAAAAAAGCATGTCACAGCAACAGAGAGAAACCAAGTTATAAGCCAAAAGCACAGCGTGTTAGTGATTCTTGCATTTGACATAGTGGGACTAGAACAGAGTGTCTAATAAGAAAATTTAACATTATTACATGCTAAGAATAGATTAAAATAATACAGGTTTATACATGAGAAAAAAAAATTAGATACCAACACCAAACTGAAAACTATGAACCTCAATGCCAGCACACAACTTTTCTCTAATTCTTGTGACCCATGTGTTTTGCCACAGGAACCAAGTTCATTAAGTATTTACAGCAGGGCTGGATTGTCACACGATGTAAATGTTAGCCGCTGTTTGTCTTTGCAAAGATGACCGGAAGAAGAAAAGGAGAATAGTAATCATTGTAATTACCTTTACACTTTGTACAATATCTTAATGATGATTTCTGTAGCTTAAGAGACGTCCAGACTCCCTGGAAGACAGGAATGTAAGTTTGAATATTCAAAGTCAGAGCAAGAAACTGAGCATGAGTCTCTGTTTTCCTTGAAGAAAAAATTACCCTATTGATATAAACCTGTTCTTCACCCACACTACACTCTTGTTCCTCTTTACTGAAAAAAAACAACTCTAAATCCAAAGTGGTCACCACATGTTTAATATTTAAATTTAGCATTTGCTCCTCTTCATCACCTTTTCTTTCTCTGATTAGTTGTGCTCTGCCCAGAGAGGTTGTCGACTCTCCTCTGGAGATACTCAAAACCTGCCTGGATGCGTTCCTGTGCGGTCTGCTCTAGAAGAACCTGCCTTGGCAAGGGGGTTGGGCTAGATGATCTCCAGAGGTCCGTTCCAACCCTGATCGTTCTGTGATTCTGTGTGCTTGATTAGAAAATAAGTGATCCTGAAAGAACATGCAAGTATATCTTCAAGGCAGGGGGGGGACATCATCAGGCTCTGGAATCTGAGTAGATGTAATGACAAAGAGATACCTCCCTAAGTAAGATTCAGAGTTTAAAACAGGGACTAATGGTTAGCATTTCCTTCTTGTTTAATTCTAGCAGGTTTCGTAATGAACAAATGGACTTTAGAATTGGAATCCAGCTCCAAAGACATCTAAACTTTAGATCTTTGTGTGAATTGCATCTCTAGGCTCCTGTTACAGTCTACAGAGATCTAGTTATAGTCACTGAAACCTAGGAAGCAATACAGCTGGTGAAATGTTTGCGTCTTCATTAGACCATAGTTGGATAGCTCTTTAAAATCCATAGACTGTATTGATTAAAGAACTGCTCAGGATACTCTGAAGTAATTTCGAGCTGAATCCATCTTATTTCTTTTGTGTTTTCTGTTTCACTACTTTAGATGTCAGTCTAAGTTTGAGCCTTCCAGTTCAGAAAGAGTTGATGTTGAATTTATAAACGCTATTGATACTCAGTATTAGTTATTTGACTTCTTGGAATCCATAAGGGAAAGCACTCTGAATTTGCTCTTAAAATATTTGCAAAGGATTTAGAGTAGATGGATCAAAAATAAGTGTGTACAAATTTACTGCTGTTGCTTCAGTATAGAATCATAGAATCATAGAATGGTTTGGGTTGGAAGGGACCTTAAAGATCATCTAGTTCCAATCCCCCTGCCATGGGCAGGGACACCTTGCACTAGACCAGGTTGCTCAAAGCCTCATCCAGCCTGGCCTTGAACCCTTCCAGGGATGGGGCATCCACAGCTGCTCTGGGCAACCTGTTCCAGTGCCTCACCACCCTCTCTGTGAAGAATTTCTTCCTGATATCTAATATCAGGAAAGATATAGAAATATATATCTTGAAATTCTTTTCAGCATGGTTTGTGTGTCTCTTATTTTTATGTTGTGGTAGGCAATGTAGATGTTTAAGGAATATTCTTCTGATTTAACATATAGATTGGTGCTCGTGATCTCATTATATGAGCTACCAGTGCATTTTTAGGATAGCACCTTTTAAAATAAGTAAGAGATGGAAATTAAAGCCAGAAAAGCATTAAGCCATTTATTGTATTCCTTTAGGGCTTTGAATAAAGGAAAATTAGGTAAATTTATAACAAAATAATTCTCAATTAAATAATTTTTTGTCATAAAAGGATGGATAAATGCACGCAATTTCCCCAATATGTGCTAAGAATTACATAATAATACGTTTTTCATGTGAGATGTGAGAAACTGATGTTGAAATAAGTTAGTGACTTTCCCAGAGAAG